TTATCAGTCATTTTGAGGGCTCTGAAATAAGAAATAAAATGATATTAGTTATGTAATAAAATAATAACTGAATCATTCAACAATGTACTTGTCAATACAAGTTGCTTCCTGTATACTTATACTTGTAAGTAACTAAACATCTGGGCCAGAAATGAGTTAACAAAAATTGGAAAAAACTTTTTTGGGCACCTGATAGAAAAGATAAGCATTAACTGTAAACTTGAAGAGGTTAAGATTGTAGCAATCAGGAAAGTGTCCTCCTGGGAGTTTGTTCAACAAAATAGCTGCCCAAATGAAATTTCCTTACAAATGGAATATGAAGAAAATAGGGATGATTTGTCCCAGTGTATGTAGCATAGCGGGTCTTAGTTGTAAAGATCAGAGCTTGTGGAGCTCAGGAATGGTGATCATTAGAAGATTTTTACCATGGAAAATGATGAGTAAAGAGAGGCTTGCAACATTTCATCTGTGGGATAGGGGTTGTAGAGTGAAAAATAATTCATCACCCAAAAGGTGGTCTAGATTCTTCTGAACTCTATCAAGCCTAGAAATTAATGACTATACATTAGTTACCTCCAAAAAAAGTGATACCTAAGGGTTTAAAATGAAAAATCTTTCTTGAAGCTTTTATTTTAGTTTAATTTCAAGCTAATATCAGGTCATCCCATAAGTTCTGTCTGAAATTTTTACTTTTTGTTAAAATGAACGAAATTTAAAGAGTATTTTATAATGTCTAATGGTGCTGAACATTATTTTTATGTTTAGATGCATTTAAACTGATCAAAGTTTATTTCAGAGAACAATAAAATTAAATTTTGTTTGATTAAACCCCTGCTAACATGGAAGTAGCCAAGAATCATTTGAGGCACATAATGCTTTATGAGTTCAAGAAAGGAAACTCAGCAGCCGAAGCGGCTAGAAACATTCACTCAGTTTATGGAGAGGAATGTGTGAATGAAAGAACTTGCAGAAGATGGTTTGCAAAATTCAGAGGTGGAGATTTCACCCTTGAAGATGAAGATCAAGCCGGACGTCCAGTTGAGTTTGATGAAAAGCTTCTTGAAGCAGCCCTTAAAGAAAATCCCGCTTTACCAGTTGAGGAATTGGCAGTGGTTCTCAGTTCAAACCATACAACTGTTCATCGTCATCTTCAACAACTTGGAAAAGTTCCTAAAAGTGCCTCATGAATTGTCTGAAAACAACCTCAAATCCCGAGTTGACATCTGCTCTTCTCTCCATTTTTGCCAACTTGTTTTATCTTTTTTTGGATAGACTTGTGACTGGCGACGAAAAATGAATCTTTTATCGAAATGTTAAGCGTCGTAGATATTGGCTTGGTAAAGGGGAAGGGCCACAGCCACAATCGAGAAGAGAACTTCATGGACAAAAAGTTCTTCTTTCAATCTGGTGGGGTCGCCAAGGAATAATCCACTTTGAATTCTTACCACCTAATGCAACAATTAATGGTCAAATATACTGTCAGCAATTAGAGCGTTTGAACCAAGTTTTGGGGAAAAAAGACCTGCTCTAGTGAATTGAAAAGAGGTGATGTTTCATCAGGACAATGCACGACCCGATACAGCAAGAATCATGTCACAAAAGATTGAAGAACTTGGTTGGGAGAAAATTCCTCATCCACCTTATTCTCCCGATCTTGCTCCTTCAGACTACCATTTGTTTCGTAGCTTACAGAATCATTTGGAAGAAACAGCTTTTGTAACACAGGAAGAGGTTAAAACTGACATTTGTGAGTTCTTTGAATCAAAGCCAAAAGAATTTTACAGTAATGAAATTAGTAAGCTTGTTAATAGATGGAAAGAAGTCATAGATAATCAGGAAAAATACATTGTTGATTGAATCTGTAATTAAATGTAACATTTGGTCACATGTTTTCTTTATTCAAAATTCGAACAGAACTTATGGGATGACCTGATAGATTACATTTAATATTTCCAATTAGCAAAATACTTTAAATTTAAATTGGTTGGAATGAGTCTTTTATTTTTTTTATTTTTTAGCCATATTTACAATTTTCTCAGCACAATGTAATTCTCTTTAGTAAAATAAATCTTTAAAAAATAAAATATACTTTTCTGAAATTTAGTTTCAAGAAGATTAACTGACTTAAAGTTTAATTAATCTGATTTGAAATAAATATTACTTTTAGTTTAAAATGTTGCAGAAAAGTGTTTTTTTTAACACTGAGGTAGGCATTTGTAAGAGGTATTGACAGTTCCATTGATAGCCTGATGTTTGGGAAAGTTAACCAATATTTTCTACGGGAAAAATAGCTGTAAAAATTACTTGATGAATATAATGTGAGCACTTTTTTATATAAGTTTTTAACTACCCAGTAATCTTTAAAATGTAGGAGATTATTCATAATTAATCAAATGTTTTATTGAATTTTAGATACTTTGGCCTTCAAATTTGTTATAGTTACTGATCTTATTTTCTGATAATGTTGTGTATAGATGTCTGTATTCGCAAAAATTGTCATGTTTATACACACACACAAAAAAATTTAAAATTCTTTTTAAAATTCTGGGGATTACTGAATTGTAAGTTTTTCCATTTATAAATATAATTTTTACTTAATAATACCATTGAACTGGTACAAATTAATACAGATTTAAAACTTTATAAATTATTTTATTCATTATTCAAATGAAAACAGTTCTTGTTAAAATTAATTATTCACTGAAAAAATGTTTTCTTAAGGCAGTAGTGTCAATTATATACCTTATTCATAAAAACAATTAAAAGCTTTTCTCATTAAATAATGTCTTAGTTTTATTGCATTTTTTATTTTGTGATTCAGAGCAGATTTTCTGTCACTGGGAGTCCTGTTTTACAAAAAAAAAAAAAAAATTGACAATGTAAATTCTCCAAGGACTTTTGCTTATAACTAATATAAACATTAGGCTGTTCAAAAATGAATTTCTCAAAATTTCATAAAATTAAATAAGTGAGGGTTAACAGATGAAAAATAAATCTTTACCAAGATTTTCTAAAATATATAAATGTCTTTAAAATAATTTAATTAATTTGTGAATAAGTCCTGAAAGTTTCATTAAAATCTGACAATTTTGATTTTTACAAGAATTTCCAAATCAATGTATTTTCACCACAAAAAGATGCTAAAATTTCCTATATTAATTTATGGTCACCTGCTGATGCAAGAAAAATTTTTAACCAAAATTTTGAAGGTTCTAAAAGGGATTAAAAAATATAATTTGATAATAATAAAAATCCTTTGGTCTTCCCTTAATAATAAGAAAGATTTTGATGATAAAACTTTGTTTTTATTAGGTTTGGTGCATTTTTTCATAATGTCTGCTCATTTTTGGCAAATCTTTGGAGGTGCCTAATATACATCATAATTTGTTTTGGAAGTATAAAAAAAAAAATGGTGTTCTAAGTGTGTTGAATTGTGTGTGTGGGATGTAAAACTACCATGTATGTGTCATAACTCTGGGTTATTTTTCTTGATCAGCTAAAGTTTTTCCACACCCTGTGTGTTTGTGTGTGTGTGTGTGTATATATATATATATATATATATATATACACACACACACACACAATAGTCCCCCGCTATAGTGTGGGCATTGTGGTCCAAGATGGTTGACCTGTGCTGCAAGTGAATTGTGGTAGCTGGGGGTTGGGATGATAATAGGAGGTTGAACACCTACCTGATTTTGGGGCCCTAGTTGCCCTATTTTGGGATATATACTGTAGATAATGGCTCGAAAAGAGCCTTAAAAAATTATACTAATTAATGCCTATGATTCCATAAGAAATTTCAGGTAATTTGCTTTTTAGACCCTGCACTAAGTATCTAATAAAAATTTCCCAAACAGTTATTTTTTATTCTAAATTTACATGCCTAATTTGAAAATAACAAAAATTTTTTAAAAATCTACCATTTTGGAGTTATTGACAATAAAAGTTTGGACTCATTCAGACTCTTTCTAAAAAAAGTGAGTGATATTGAGGGTACAAGAGCAAAATCTTGGGGTCTACCATCCGTCCATGCTACACTGTTTTGCCTAATAGCAGTAGATTACTATATATATATATAATATGTATGTCTGGTTCAAACACCTTTCCTGTCTTTTGAACAGGAGTAGGGGTTTATTCCTTATTTCCTGTTTCTTCTAAAGTCCTTTCAGTATCTTTTACTCTCTGTTGCCCCCTTGTGTCTTAGTGGCATTATCATCTTGTTTGGGATGAATTGATTAAAACTTTATATATATTTAATCTACAGACTATTTCACTGTATCACAGCTCTTCAGTGTCGCTAGACGTCTGATTGCTTCAAGTCAGGATTGAAACTCAACCGATTTAGCATCAGTCAGAGATCTTACCCCTAAGTCATCAGTGCATGGCAGAGAGAAGGGAAATTTTACCGTTTTTCCTACATGAAATACACTAGTGCCTAAGAGAACTCAATTCGTACTTGAAGAGTAATGCATTCATAGCAGATTTCGAACAGTAAATCCATAAATTTGAACACAGTACTTATCACCTTATTTGAAAATTGGAAAAATACAATAAAATATTAAATAAACCTTGTTGATTCTTTTAAATTAAACATATTTGGATGAATACTTGCTGCCTAAATATCAAAATATTGTGTGTATATATATATAAGTTTGTATAACAGCTGCTTCAACAAAGTAGTGCATCCAACTAAGCTCTCATTACATGATGAGCCTTGGTTCAAATGTGGTATCTAGGCCACGGTAACATCACCCCCCCCATACCATGCAATACCACAAGGCTTCCTGTCACATTGCAGAGATATGCCAGAAGCCTATCTCCTTTTTGATAATTCTCCCATCAAAGAACAAGATGAAAATGAAAAATTGTTTTTTTATATAATTATTTTTGATACATTTTATTAATTGGTCCCAACTTGCCTGTAGTTTCTGTTCTTTTTAAATTTTTAAAAGAAAAACTAAACATTGTATTTTGCATATTTTTATTTTTGATTTCAGTGCGTCCGCGCCATTGGGCGACGCCGGCACCTGATAATAGCCAGAAGGAAATACTCAACACAACCCCCAACTGCCTCAAAATCCAAGTGAGTCTACTCCTGTCTTGGATTTTTTTTACCTTTGATTTGAATCAATTGATGTAGACATGTTGTTCATTGTCGAGTTGAAAATCATTCTTGTAAGTGATTGCAAAACTAACTCATAATAACCATTACTGATATTTCTTGAAATATGAAGGTAGATCATTAAGTCCATAGCCTAACAAATTAGTTGAATTTTGATCTCAAAGTTTCACAAAACAATGTTCAATCTATGTAATTTATGGAGAAAGGTTGGGTTAAGTGTATGGAAAAGAGAGGAGATCGGGTTGAAAAATATTTGTTGTGTAAAATAAATGCTTTTTTGTGGACTAATTGATAAATCCACATCTTTGTGCTTTTAAGACAATTCTTTTATTGTATTTTATTTTATCAATCTGTTTTTTGTTGGAAATCTTTTGTTAGAATTTCTGGAATACTGATTTATCATTATTTACATTATTTGGTAATATGGTAATAGTGAGTTCAATCCCTGGACTAGGAAGCAAAGACTCAAAATCAGTGAAAACAAGACAAGCAATAATTAACTGTTACTTAAAGAAAAAAAAAAGATATCCCATGGATAAAAAAATGAGAAGAATCTATCCATATATATTAAATAAAGGGTTCAAAATTTCCTGAAGGTTACTTCTATTGAGAGACATCTGAAGAAGGACATAAGGCAAAACAGCTGAAATATTATTGTAATAACAACAACAAAGATGAGGATATTGTCTGCAAATAAACAGTGGGAATTTGAAATAGAGCAACAACTTGTGATATTTACTTTTGTATTCTATCTTTTAAGCAACTTCTACCTATGATCAGAGTGTAATATCTGCCTGATCCCTTCTGATCTGGAATCATTTATGCTTTATAATAATAATAAAACTGGGAAGAATTGAGTAAGGTGAGGAGGAAAAAGGGATGTGAGGAAGGATAAGTAGGAGGTAAAACAAAAAGAAAACCAGGTGAAAGGAAAAAATATAAAGAGAAAAATGGATGATGATAAAAACATAGATAAGCTTGATGACTGGATATTAAAGAGACAATGAGTGAAAGATTGAAAGACAATTCTGGATGGTAATGTACAAAAATTGATTCATTAAAATTCTTTATGAAAAGATAGAGCAAAAGAAAGATAAAGAATAGGTTGCATTAAAAAAAAAATATTTGTGCATTCCTTATTCATTTTTCATTTATCCATAGCTTAAAATTTTACTCTGGAGTTATCTTTGATCTTAGCAAAATTATTTAACTGCTGCTTGAAGGTGAAATCTTTTCCAAGTATGTGGAAGGTGTTAAGTGTATGCCCAGTTTTCAAAAATGTGACTTAGCACTCATCCCTCTCACAGTATAGGCTCATCAGTCTCCTCAGTGTCATTAGCAAACCTTTTGAAGTTATAATCAACAAGAAAGTTGTTGATCATCTTGATAGGAAGAACCACTTGAGTGACAAACAGTACAGGTTACAATTGACCCAGTCTATTGCTGATATCCCAACTGCTATGACTCATAGAATCAGTGAAGCACTAGACAACAAATACATCTCAAGGACGACCACATGAGATATTTCAAAGACTTTTGACAAGATGTGGCATAAAGGGTTACTGCGCAAGACCTATGGAATTACTGGAAGAGTCTTCTCGGTTAGTCCTTCCTAATGGGTAGGTCCCTGAAGGTAGTTGTTAATGGCCAGTCCTCAGAGGCCCAAGTGATTAATGCAGATGTCCTCCAAGGTTTGCTTCTTGATCCAATCCTTTTTCTACTTTACATAAATGATTTGTCAATATCTGATCTTTGGGAATATCTATTCTGATGATATACAAATATATGGGTACATCTCCAAAATTCTAGGTGGCCAGAGCTTGGCAACTGATCTCTTCTCTGACCTTGGGGAAAAGAAAAACTGGCTCGTCACACTCAATGCCTTGAAAACCAAACTAGTAACTTTCTATCATCACTGATTGCACCCAGAACTTTCACCAGTCAGATTCACTTTTTGTTCAGATGAACAACATTCCTTAGTTTCACCAATTCTAATCTTCATGTCTAAGACCTGCCATGCCACACACATTGCAGCGAACCATCCTCATTTCCTTTATATTCCATTGGTGAGATGTTAGTTCTACTTGAGCAACTTCTTCCCATGAACTACTGCTTTGTGTAATTGAATCCCAAAAGGATGCTTCCCTAATCAATACACTCTTAACCCGTTTAAGTCTAGGGTTAACTCTTATCTTCCCTACATGCCTTTTACTCTGTAACCCCTACCTCCTGTGCCTATGGCCCATATGCAGGGTGAACATCATTGTAAAAAAAAACATGGTCAGATAAGTAAGGGAGAAAACAAGAAGATACAGTCAAAAGATGAAAGACAATAAGAGGCATGAAATAAAGGATAATTTCCACAGGTCCAGTTCATAAAAGTTTCAGAACAACTAATACCACATCTTTATTTTACAAAGACTTTTAGAAAAAGAAAATTTTAGCTTGTTCCATTAGATATTTTATTGTATAATTTGAACATTTGTTAATCGTTCTCCTATCTATAATACAGGGCAGTGAGAAGAGTATAACATTTTTTTTATTTGAGTATAGTAGGGAATGGAAGCACAAAGCAGGCAAATTTAATTTTTTCAAATCTTTTGTTGTTATTTGATAACTACCCTCACCAAGTCCCCGTTGTGTTGGCGATTGGATAAGAGCTGATCCATTAATCAATAATCAATTTTATAAGTAATTAATTGCATCTTTTTTCTTTCTTCTCCCCAGTATTGGCAAATGGATTTTCGGGATCACTGTTACTGGCTTCAGTGGTGTGGTTGGTTATGCTTGGTATGACCCTGCAAACAGAAAACTCCTTGAAGATAATGTACCATACTCCAAAGAAGTGCTTGACCCCATCTTAAAAGCTTTACCTTCAAAGCTACCAATTCCTACTTTGCCTTCACATATACGACAATAGTAAGTATACATTGTAGTATGGTAAAAGTGCACACACACACATGCACACATGTTCCTATTATTCCGAATATTATTTTGTGTCTACTCATGTTTGAGTAGACACCCTAGTTTTTAAACAGTGGGAATTACGTCTGCTGGCCTGCACATTCAAGAGACTTAAAAAAAAGTAAATGTGCTTTGTGGCAGAATTATTACAAATGTGCAAGCTGATAGACAATTTGCACTGTTTAAAAACCAGAGTGGCATCTACTCAAACATGCGTATCCACAAAATAATGTTTGGAGTAGTAGGAAATAATATTGGATAAAAAAAAAAATCATTGATTCCTTCAAAATTATTCTGTAGTTCACTGCCAACAGCAAGCAGAAATATTTCTCCTCCTGATGATGGCCATTTCGGTCGAAACTAGTCGAGGAATCTAAATGGAATAATAATAATAAAAAAAACGAAAGAATATTAATCTACAACCCAGTGTGTCTAATGATTTTAATTTTTTAATTTTTTATTTTCTTATTATATATATATATATATATATATATATATATATATATATATATATATCTCCAGGGTGCAGATTTAACTTTTGACCAGATTCAATAGAAGCCCTTATAGAAGAATTCACCACTTATTTTGATTAACTGCATTATGAGAACGATTATTCCACTACTTATGTAAATGTAAAAACAGTCTTATTTGGCAATAATATAAATGACAGGTAGCTATAAAAAGGCATTGTTGATTATTTATGGCTAATTTGTTTAAATAATGCATTGACAATTGTTTGATTTACATGGCATTAATTGTAAGTAAAAGAATGCACTAAAATAAGTAATCAAGTAATTGTTTTAAGTTCTCTGAATATTGGTGCCTTTCTTTATTATTTCTGAAAATGAAGTATTTTAATAATTTTCAATAATAAATTTATTGGGTATTCAGTAAAAATTTAACATTTCATTAATTTTAATACATTTTTATCAAATATGAAAGCTTTTCAAAAGCTAATTCATGAATTTTCTAGAGGACGATCACTATTCGTGACAGTTTCACTTTGGGAACTAATAGTGAGAATTTGGTCTAAATAGCCCACCTATACTTTCTTGATTGGTACACTTAGTTTCTTATAAAATCTATCTGAAAGCTTTGAAGACTGTTTTATTTTTTTTCCCTCTAGTTTACCATGGGCAACAAAAGAGGAGGAGCCCAGTACACCAACTTCAACAATCACACCTCCAGTCAAAAAGGTTAGTTTTTTTTTTCAATGGTGGGATGTATTTCCATTAGGCCACATCAACCACAATATTTTATCTTCTACTTTGAGCGAACTTTAACATCATTAACTCGTATCTCATAATCTTCTCTCTCAAAAGGATATGTTCTTTGTTGACCCACACAACGAGCGATGTCATACAAAGAATTGGATTTACTAGTCAGGCTGTTTTTCAATCATTTTCACATACACAATGTAAGAATAATTCAGTACTAGTGGTTGCAACGCCTACTAGCAACTGCAGTATTCAACTAATAACAGTTGGTTGATCCATACTATTGTAGTTAAGTGTCATTTATTTGCTATTGATCACTGAATATCAAACCAATATATCAGAGAGCCAAGTTTGATTTCAGTCAGGTTTGTTGCCTTCATTTACATGCAAATACTTTTGGAAAAGTTATTAATCCATCTCATCCCTCCAGCCATGGGTTAAACAGTAGGACTTACCAGGAAAAGTTATTGTTAATCTCAAAAAATATTGTTAATAAAATATTCGCTTGCAATAAAAGCATTAAACTTACAATCTAAAATAAGTTTTGAGTTTAAATAATCCACAAAGGGTCGATAAGCCATAAAAACTAAATCACTCAATCATCTGTCTATGTAACTGGAGACTTGCTGCCCATTTCAGCATTTTTACCATTAAGTTGTGGCCTGGTTCCTACACATTAACCTGTCTGGTTAGGCTACCTACCAGGTGATAAGCTCATGCCAAACATAGCTCTTTGGGTCATAGGAACAGGCAAACCATTCCACCATGTTAAGGGAATTAATCCTGGGGTGAAATGATTATGTACCAATATTCTTAATTTTTGTATTTGCTTGTAATTTCTTTACAAGGGCCCTTTTTTTTTACTTACATCATTTCAGTCAGACTTCTTTGTGTACATTGGGCGTTCAATACTTGTATACAATTCTCACCCCCACGCTGTACCACCAGCTTGTTGGTCTTCAATTTCTTGAACCTTTTCTGTCTTTGTTGAAAGGCCTTTGCTTTTTAGTCTTATTTGTTAAGGGCAACATCAGTAAAAGCAGCTGGCACTTGGACATCTGAGTCCTGTATGGGAAATGTGGATGGGGTATACGAGGTACCTTAAAGACTGCAAATTTAATTTTTTCTTCTTTTAGGAAGATGTGTAAAATTTTATTTCTTTACTCAGGTTTCTGTATCAGGTTTTATTATGCAAGTCAAAAAGATATTGGCCACAGAAACATTATTTGATTAACAATATATCCCATATAGGAGGCTAATTCAAGAAGTAAAAGCAATTTCTATATGACACCTTTATTTCCACTGATGAAGAATAAATGCATATGTCACTTTTCAACATAGAAATGAAATGCATTTCTGGTATTGTTGAATGAGCTTTTGCATCTCTTACGAAGCCATGTCTGCACTGCTTGCTTGTTTGGGTACCCAATGCACACAAACTTTATGGTACCCCAAGTCATCATGTCCTGTACCTTGTACAAATCCATAGCTGATGCCCAGAATTGCCACCAACACCAACACCTCTTAACATGATTTTTCTGTCTTCCCTGATCAAGGCATCCACACTTGTGTTCTTCCGTGCATGATGTTCATGGGTGACTAGATCTGCTTTCATCTGTTAGACTTATTCTTCCCGCTTTAAAGTGTTCCAGCCACTCATACACCTTTCATTGAATCATGGTGTGTGTTCTATACTGTGCCAACATCCAGAGATGGATTTCGGCAGGTTTGACTCTCTCTGCCCAGAATCGTTACTATGGTGCATTGTTCTTTGATGGTGCAATTCCTGAATGGAGCATCCATACGTCTGACCTCGTTGCTCCCTGCCACTTGACTGAATGATAGAATGCTGTATGTGGCTAGCTACCTGTCCATCCCATATGCAAGCATGATGTCACGCATCAGCACCTCCTGTTATTTTTACTGCATAATTTCAAAATTACCTTTACCTTCTGATTTATCTTCATATATTTATAAATTACTTTTTTATAAGTTAATATGGGTTCCTTGACATTCTATAACTTTTGAGATGTCAATGAACACTCATTACCACTTTTGTAATGTCAATGAATACTCGTCACTTTTGAAATGCTCGTTGTAGTAGAGACTTTGTAATCACAGATACAACTATAGTACTCCATTGAACAATACTGGTATCAGACGCCTTTGACTATCACTCACACTAATAGTAATTGCTCGTTAATATTCGCTCAAATAGTAATATGTATAGTGATTTGAAAAGAGAAATAGTATAGTGAATAGAGGTCAGTATAGTAATAGAGTAGAAATAGTGATCTGTATAGTATAGAGGATAGAATAGAAATGCAATCCAAATAGTAATAGAGGATAGACTAGAAATAGAGATTGTTAGACATCAGCTACTTCCTACATATATGCATTTCCTCTATGGTCACATGATCCACTTAATCCAATAATGGTATCGCCTGTGTTTACTCTCTGGTGATCTATGTTCAAACTCAAGTGTAGGCAGCGACAACTTTATTCCTATATAAAAATAACATTTATTAGTCTTTCATTCATAACTTTTCTATTGTTTTTCTAATGTTTTGACTAATATTACTTGTAGCATTTGCTACCCAAAGATGATCTTTGTATATTATTTTCCATTCTAATGTGCATCTATTTTAATGATAGGCCACAAATTTTCTATTGAAGTAACAATTATATGGTGAGGATCATTCTTTTATTGTCTTCAAAATTTTTTTTAGTAATGTTGGCAGTCGCCAGCCTTAGAGAATGTAAAGGAATATTGTCTTGCGTTTTCTTTAACTTAAAGATTTTGTTTTTTACCTGTGACACTTGAAAAGAAAATGTCTTATCCAGGAACTTACAATAATTCTCCATATTTATTTTGAATTGTCATCAGTTTGGTGGGATTTATAATTTTACTGTTTACAAAACTAGTAAAAGTCTTATTTCACCTCCCCACTCTTGTGTTTGTTGATTATTTCTATAAAGGACCCAAATATTTACCCAGCTATCATGTCCATCAAATGTAGATTTACATTCATCACTAAAAAATTATTGTTGAGAAATCAGTTTTCATGTACTTTGCTAAACTTACAATTCTTTATGTAATGTTTATTTAAAGGTGTAGATTGGTTGCTTTCATTAGCTAATATTAATATTGTATATGGATGATGTTTGAATTCCAGTCGAATTCATTACATTCACTTACATGCTAATACCCTTGGGAAAGGTATTAATTCTCTTCTTCTCCTTCCAGCTATGGGTAAATAGCAGGACAGACTGGGTTCTATAGCCTTTGATGGCAACTGGTCTAGGAGAAGGACAACTCTGAATTCAAAGCCTGTGGAGGGTCGTTTGGAGACCTTTTGGCATGTATTTCGCCAGGTCTCTGTATTCTGCCCTTCAAAAAATGTGGTTGGTTCTGCACAAAGCCTTCACTACAATCAAATGTGCTGATGTCTGGGCTGTTGGTTCCTAGGCACTGAGCTGCTTGACCCTTATACATTGAATATGACTGGAGAGTTCATATATGGATGAATATAGACTTAACAACTCCTTTTTAACAACATTCACTGCTTTCAAGATGTCTCCAGGCTTCCTTAAGGAGTGGATTTTACAGAGAACAATGGAGATTATCATTTGTGTGTCCTTTGACAGATATTGATTCTGTTCTTGTCAAATCTAAAGGATTAGCTTGCTACACCAATGAGCAAAATGCTTACATGAAACACACACGCAATCATTAATCACTATCCCACAGTGTGTGGTAGGTTATTCTTCACTTTTCCAAAAATCCCAGCTTGTGGATAAACACCTTTTGCTAATTAATCAGATTTTATCAAATTTTTCCCAGAAACATTTCTTTTTCCTCCAAGAGAAACGAACAGTATTTGACCTAAATATCATTTGCATTTATTTATGGCCATACTGTATTCTTTCCCCAAGTCTTGTTTGTTTTGTTTTGATAATAAAGCACATCATTTATGTATGTCATATGTCCAGACCCCCATCTATCAACCTGGCTAGCTGTCAGAAAAAGGAAGTGGAGATGATGCTTACTTCATTATAAAGGTAAACATTAGGTTTATTCTGGGCTGAGGCTTCAGCTTGCTTTTGGCTGATTTCATCAGATTTTTGTTTTTACTTTGTGGTACAAATAAAAAAAAGTTTTACTTATAACACAAAGCCTATTGTGACACACTTATCCACTCATCCATAATACCAGTGCATTGAAGGCTTAGTAATATGAACTATTTTGTATATGGGGGGGGGAGCATTGGAATTTTTTTTTATTTTAAAGGCCACAAATGTGGTATTTTTGTTTAGAACCAAATCATCTCAACTCTTTGAATATAAGACATTTTGAATTTTATCTCTTGTGTTTATTTTACTGTTTTTCATCAAATCTTTTTCTAAGGTTTGTTACATTTATCTTTTATGTTTCAGGCTGTCAAAACACCCGACTCAGAGGAGATAAAACAAAAGGGTAGGTATGTTTAAATTCCTCTTAAACATACACACACACACACACATATATATATATATATATAAAACACAATGTATATGAGGTATTTTTGGATTTTATTGTGTACTAATTATTTACTCTGTAATAATAAATACATTGAGGTCTTTTGTGGATCAGTTTTAATATTTTATATTACTAGGATCCACTTGGATTGTATATCTTTACTACCTTTATTTATATATATATATATATATATATATATATATATATATATATATATATATATGTGTGTGTGTGTCTGTTTAGGCAGCAAATTCTCTTTTAGGCATGTCTCATTTAATAAATTACTAATATACCTACTTATTTTTATCATAATCTTTTCATATTCATGAATATTTTTCAGTTGTAATATTAGGTTGGTGCAAAAATAATGTCGTTTTTTGATGTTCAACTTAACGTCAAAAATGACATTATTTTTGCACCAACCTAATATATGGAAAAAATATTTGAATATAAAAAGATTATGATAAAAAAACAGACATAATGTTTGTAATTCATTCAATCACACACACACACACACACACACACACACACATATATATATATATATATATATATATATATATATATATATATATATATATAATATAATTTGATCAAGGTTGTAGAAGCCAGGAACATTTTTGAATTTGTTTTTATAATGTTCATTTCAGGTTACATTTGTCTTTATGGTTTTCTTTTTTAAAAGAAAAAAGAAATTTTGACTTATTTAAAGTTGGATTAATGTTCTCATTTTTGTTGTTGTTATTATCAAAATGTTTTAGCTGTTGTACCTTTCAGCCTTCTTCAGGTGACTATCAAATGAATGACCTTCAGGAGATTTTGAACCAAATACCTTTTTTTAAAAAATCTATGGTTAGATTGTTCTTGTTCTATTGTGTGTATCTAGGGATATATTCTCTTTTTAAGACTGCTCAGTTATCAGCCAGAGCAGTGGTTCCAAAACAGTGTGGAGTGCCTCATAGTTGTGGCAGAAGAGGTGAAGTGGAATGATTGAAAGGCAATCAAATATTTACAGTTTCAAAATATTTGTATGTCAAAAATAAATATGATGTCAAAATTTTAAATATTATTATTGATTACTTGTAATTGCATGCATGTACCTCAGTATAACTAATTATAAATAATTATCATTGTGATATTTTTACATTATATCAAGTATTAAGAATATAGTAACTAGTGTCTACAAATTGCAGAAGAGTTATCAATGAATGTTCTGACTTCGAATCCGCAGTTATTTCCCTTTAACCCTCTCTCTGTTTTTATTTTTAAATTTACTTTTTATCACATAAAATTTGGTGTGGCATGAGCAAATTTTCATTTCAAAAATGCAGCTCAAAGAAAAAAGTTTGGAAACCATTGGCCTAGAAGGTTAAAATATTGATTCATGAATTTGATGACAGTAATTGTGAGTTCAATCTCTCTGCTGGGTAGTACAGACTCAGTGGAAACAGGAATAGCAATAACTAAGCAATACTAAAGGGATCAAGATATCCCTAGACATTGATAATATATCAAGAACAATCGAGTACCTGCTGATTGAATAAAGAATTCATTTTAAAATTGCTTGAATATTACTTGGATTGACACACCTGAAGAAGGCCAGAGATTGCAACAGCAATGAGGATATTAGTTCAAATAATGTTATCTCTGCATTCTAGAAATACAGACAGAAGATCTCGACACAATTCTATAAGATCAATTTTATTGATGAACCTATGTATAAATTATTTTCAATTATAGAACGTCATTACTTTATCTGTTAGTGTTGCTTACACAGTTAACATACTTTTAAAATATGCATGTGAAATGCTAATGTTGATTGCTATTTTTACAGAAGCTGAGAAAGCTGAAAAGAAGAAACAGGCTGCAGCTTTGAAGGCAGAAGAAGAGAAGAAAGCAAAGGAAGAATCAAGATTGTTGAAAGAAAAAGAAAAGCAAGAGTTGGCTCAGAAGAAAGTGGAAGATGAACGTGCAAAGGAGGCAGCCAGACAGAAAGCTGAAGTTGAACGACAATTGAAAGAAAAACAAGCATTGGAAGCTGCCGAAAATGAAGGTCATTTACAACATCTGAGTCTTTTAATTATATTTCTAATTTAATTTTTATACTTTGGGGATATTATTATTATTATTATTATTTAGTAAGCTTCTCTCTCAATCCATTGATAGTTAGCTTCTTATAACTAAGTGCCAAATTGGGATTAAAATATTTATTTACTCCAAACCTCTGTGACTAAACTGAATAAATACAAGTAGAAGTACCCAGCCTTGCTTGGGTTTATAAATTCCTTGAATATTATTAGGTGGGTTCACTATAGTTTGCTTGTAAAAGATGCTGATAATGTTCTCTTTGGGAATGGTGATTGAATCACAATTGGTACATCCAATCAATACAGACTCTAGTTTTATTGTTATAAACACTCACATAAACATTTAATAAAAAAAAAAATATAGGATACTTTTGATAAGATAAGATCCAAAGAAGAATCTGCAATATTATTGGTCCTGGTCTGGTAGCTCAGCTCCAGTCACTTTCCCACTGCCATAAGCTTGTCTCTGTATGTCTTTTCTGTAAATACTTTCATGGTAATTGTTCAAATGAACTCTTTGTTATAGTACCTAAATTTTTTTAATTTAAATGCAGCACTAGACTGGCATCGAGATCTCATGAATTTACAGTTGATCTGGCTAGATGTAGCTGTAAGTTCTATGCTAACAGTTTCTTCTCTCGCACTTCTTGCTTGTGGAACTCCCTTCCGGCTCCATGCTTTTCAGCCAACTTTAATCTGCAAAAATTTAAATGCAATGTCAATCGCTATCTACTGTCCACCAGATTACTTTCTCTTTCTTCTCATCATTAATGTTTCCATTCCTAATTCTTTCATACCCTGTAACTCCTTGTGATTTAGTGGCATTACTGCCTTGCTTGGGGTGATTCTGATTAAAATAATAAAAATGCATATGAATATACATTTATGCATACATATATAACATAGCCTTGTGGCCACAGCTTACCACCACATCATGCTGAAACAAACGGTTCTCATATGATCTCTGAAGCTAAGCAATGTCAAACCTGGTCAGTGCCTACATGGGTGACAACTTAGAAATACTAGGTTCTGTAAGCTTGGATGTGCAAGTGGTGTAATGGATAATGGCTTGGAATTTTTAATCAAAGAGCAGAGTTCTAAATCCCATTTTTTATTTTATTTTCACTTGCACTCAAATATCCTTGGGAAAGGTATGAATCCAACACTTTTCCCCTTAGCTATGGGTTAATTAGTAATACTTGTATCATTAAATCATTATTTCCTCCCACACACCAAAAAAAATTCTTGTAATCAAAACATATTTTCTAGATTTAAGTAATCTGCAAAGGGTTGATAAGCCATAAAAAACAAATCAATCAATCAATCAACATCTTTTGTCTCTCGTTTTGTTGCAGAAAGTGTCAGTCTACCAGTTGATCTTCCCTACCTATTTAAGATTTTAATCTGCAGAAGTCATTGGTGAAAATGTACTCATTGGAAGAAAAGAACAAGTGATAAGAAAAAAAAAACAAAAAAAACAAATTAAGAAGTAACTTGTAGAAACAAAGTAGGCTTGTAGAAACAGATTTATTTGTCTAAGGTTACACTGGCTGTCTTTACAAATTCTGTGTTGCTAGGCTCTACTTAACTACAAGTTGGTGAGTTAGTAGATGCTGGTATTATTCACAACATATTGCAAGAAAATTACTTGATTGGAAAACATTTCAGCTAGTATGCCCCCTCTTCTTGTCACCAACTAGATTCCCTCAACCAACTAACATTACCTGGTAAAAATTATAATTTTCCCAGCATTCACTTTGTCATTGACCCATACCCTTTCAAACCTCAGCTTATTTCTTTATTTTGTTTCAAGAATTACACTGTAACACAGTTTTTGTCCTTAGCTAACAACTGGTTTCTCCTATTTGCTTACGCATAGAAAGTATGAAAAATAACTAACATTTCTTTCAACCATTGCTTTTGGCAAGTTCTGGTCTAATATACTCGACTCTTGTTTAGGAAGACGTTTCATTGACTATCTTTGTAGAAGCTAGTCTTAATTAATGATGATATAAATGAATGCACTTTCTTCTACAAGTTACTTGTAAATGTGAACTAACCTACAAAAAGATCATCTTGAAAATTTGGATTTAATTCATAATGCTTTAATAAAAAAAATAATAAATAAATTTATTTAAACAATTAAATTCAAATCAAAAGTTTTACAAATTTGTTCAATTAAAGCAAAAACTTGGTAACAAATTGGGAGGTTTTGAGAAACATGGAGCCACCTCTTAATTGCTCTTGTTCTCGGATCCACCCTAACCCAGGGTGATAGCGTCTACTAGCGTCCCATTTATGGGTAAATAGTTAACCCCTAAACTGGGGTCAAAAGACTATGAAAGTATGAAAATGCATTTTCATAGTAAAAAATACCAGCAATACATTTTTGTAAAAGAAATTACTAATGTACACTATTTACATTATTCGGACTATTGTCCTCATCTTTGTTGCCATATTTATCACAACATTTTGGCTGTTATATGCTTCTTCAGGTAGTTAGAATGTTAAACTGAGCCCTTTATTTCGCTTGCTGGGGTAGACTGTTCTAGTTCTACATGCCATGTCTAATGGATGTTAATTCTCCTGCCATAACCAGGTATTGAACTCACACTCTTTGGGTCCTGTCACTGGATCTAAACTAACACCTTTATCCACTGTGCCATGTGTTCTTGAAGACATCTGTGTATGAATTTCTGAGTATTATAAACCTAATATCTTTTAGTAACCATTTTTTACCAGTGCTCATATTGCAATTTTTGTTGTTATCATTGTATGTTTTTTACCAGAGCTCATATTGCAATTTTCATTGTTATTATTGTTTTTCTCTGGCACTCCTTATTACTGGTTCCCATATTGTATTCATTTCTATGCTTGGTCGGCTTGGGAGATTTTTGTGGCCTATCATATGTGCTCATTACTTATGTTTACAAATTTTCCAATGATGTTCTTTGTCTATGATACCAACCTTATCCCACAGAGGGTGGTGATCTCCCTTTTCTCTCCATATGTAATCAGCCATACCTGATTTTTCCACTTCCCCTCGTGTTACAGCTTTCTGGTGTTCTTGAAGCCTTACCTTAGGGGGTAGCTAGTCTCCCCTTTATATTTCTTTCCGCAGCTGCATGGTATAGCATATACACAGTCTTTAGTCATGTTCTCTTTTATGGGGGTGTCTTACTCAGGAGAGATATCTATGAAGTATCGTTCAGCTTTTGAAGGTCATCCTGATGTTATATGGACAGCAGATCCTTTGTATTTTCTCTGATAACCCCTTCACATAAGGCTGGCAGACTGTTTTCTGAGTGTTGTTGTCCTATCCCAGTTTATTGGGGCTGCTGCCATGTACCCAGGGTAGTTATGTTGTAGGGTACTATTTATACTGACCAATGTATTACTAATGCTTTCAAAAAATTAAATTTCAGCATTAAATGACCCATGAAAATTTGATATGCTGCTAAACAAAAAACCCCTTCCAAACCCTATGTAAACTTCTATCCTACACAACATTAAAAGTTCCTTTTTATAATCATTACAGAACAATTGGAATGCACAGACAGTGACAATATGGTTTTTCCTCTTGGTCTTATTTTATATCATTTCTCATATAGTAATCTATCTAATGACTCCTGTAGAAAAGAAGATCTTTAATTATTTTATCAAACCCATGATACATTTTCAATATATTGATGGCATAATCATACTTGTAAAAAAAATTTGATGAAAAACAAAACTCTTTAAGTAAACCTTTGAAGAAAACTTCTGAACTCAACATTAATAAAATCTCTTTCCTTCACATTTTAGGAGATGCTAATTAATAGTTACTGTATATATTCATGTATGAACTGACCTTTGAAAACTTAATTTTGAACCTAACTTGGCTACAATAAATAGATGTATAGTTTGGTCAACAGCATAGCCAGGGCCAGCAGTACATATGCTAATTTTATATCTTATGTATGATGCGACCCACTTTAAAATTGGGTCTCCAAAAGTCGTATGATATGTAAGTACTTCATTGTATTAAAAACCTACAAGTAACATCTCTTTTCTTCTGAAATAACAAAAGAAAATGTCTTCACAGATATGAAGTAGCTGTTATAAAAAACACGATTAACTAAGCAAAAATAATTATCTTCACATGCATTATCTTATAAAGAATTGAACATGAAAAACTTATGAACAATAATTTTCCCATCCATGTTATTTAACCTTAAAAACAATCATCCTGTTATAAAACAAAAATAAAAACATCATTAACTTTCTACGGTAACCAGATACACCCTGGCTATAAGCAATTGAAAACTCGTTAAAAATATAATTCTTCAGTACATATCACTTTAGGATTGCAATAAACACTTTAGATTAATCCTTTTCTAAAAAAGTTTGAAACATTTAACTTAATTTTTTATGAATAACTTGGAATCTCAACCCCAACCAGCACTCAGAAAAGATAATGTTGTTTATAAATCCTTTTGGTTATTTTGAGAGATGGAATCTCCAATAGCAATAATCACAAAATAATTTAAATTCTTATACAGTGTGTTTCACAATTTTTGAAACAAAATGATTGGGCACAAATTAAGGATCACAAATGATAGAATAATGGAAATTGCATTTATTGAAGTGTAAAAGGATAAAATTTTAGCATTTGCAACCATTTAGTCTCAAACATGAACCAAAAATGTCAAGAGGAGCCCTAGAGTACATACTTCAGATGTCCGCTGTTCAGTTGAATGCGCTGTTGAATGCAAAGTCATTGATAACACGTGTACATTCCTCTAGGGTGATGGCTTGAATCTTCTCAGTGGTGGCTGATTACAATGCAGCAATGGTTGCCCTGATAGATGTTGTCCTTGAGGATCCCCCACAGAAAGAAATCTGAGGGGTTCAAAGTCAGGCGTGTAAAGTGCCCATTCTATTACAGCTTTGCAGATGATGAGATGCTCCTAAACTTTTCACGGAGCCATGCCATGGTAACATTAGCAGTATGAGTAGGAGCACCATCCTGCTGGAACCACTGTTCCTCCTCATCAAGGTCCTCATGCTTCTCGGGCTCTCCCCATCTCAGAGGCTGCTGCTTTGTTACAACAATTGTGAAGCACCCAATATTTATATTGGTCACACAAGCACCACACTCTCTTGGAGGTTAACTTGTTACTTATTGAAACTTAAGTAGTTTGTGTACACATTGACCATCCCATCATGAATCATAAACTACAACTATTGCAACAAATATTAGTAAATAAAACCAGAATACTCTCCAGCACAAATTATAAAGATAGGGACTCCAGATATTCAAAGCTATTATTATACAAAAGAAACAATCCGCATTAAATGAAATATATTTCACTTCAGCAGATGACATTTTAAAATTCTTAAAATATGTATGTGTATGAATGATTTTGTATATTTTGGTGCTGTCAAGCTCTGTGAAACAATTCTACACATGATGCCACTTATATGACATTATATATATTTAAATTTGGAATGTTATTTTCCAAAAAAATACCCAGATGACACTGTCAACATTTAGTTCTTGATAATAACAAAGATGGTTGAGGGGTGGTAACATCTGTTAGGTTCCCGGAAAATAGTGAAACCCCCCAAACAAGACACTATTAAAGTATAAAAATAGATTTTTATAGTAAAAAATACCAGCAATACATTATTATACAGAAGTTACCAACAAAACAATTTTAAAGCAAAATGACCAGTAATGAATTTTATAGCAAAATGACCAACAATACATTTTATCTGTAGTTGAAGGCATGCAATTGTATTCAAAATGTATTTAATTGAAGCCATAAAATTTTTTTTCAAAATACTTAGATTTCAGCATTAAATAACCCATAGAGGTGTTGATATGCCTCTAAACAAAATCAACCAAACAACCAACCAAGATGGTTGAAAATACTAAAAAAAAAAATATAAAAAAACAGAACAAAATATGAAAGTTGGATAATTTATTCCCAATTTTGATTTACATCTGTATCTGATTGAAAAATTTGAAAATACAATATAAAAGTCAAATTTATTCATTGAATTTAATGAAACTTATTTAAATTAATTCTTCTAAAATATACGTTTCATTTATATATAAACATATTGAAAAAAATCTGATATATTTATGTGGAAAGTGTGCTCCATATCAGCAAGAGAGAGAATATTTGTAGATAATGCAATCCCCTTAAAATTAGGTCTCCAGGAACAGCATGAAACAGTCTGTCACCTCCGAGTGTTGACTTCAATGTTCACTTTTATATTCAGTTGTATGGATATTAGTTTGTGACTCTGGGTTTCACGCTTTTGCAATCATCAGACAAATATATATAATTGGGCATTGTGTGTTTCAAATTGCACAGGTTACAGTTTTGCATCTATAATGCTGAGACTTAGCATAATAGTGCATCTTTTCATGATGACCGTCATGATGTGATAGTTTCTAACTATCTATATACAAGTGGTACTTAAAAGTTCTTCAATCAAGAAGGGATTAAAAATAAATCCAATTTTTGGTCATTTGTTCCTCTTTTCTGGGGTAGTAAGTTGGACAAAGAACTTTTCAGCAGTCTTTTATATTCATATAAACCATAGATTATTATATATAAAGTGAAAAGATAATTTCTTGAAATTTTGATATTGAAATGGACTTACGTATGATACAAATATTAAAGTATGTTTTGTCTCTGAGTTAAACAATTTCTAGGCAAGTGACAATTTGTAAATCTAGAAAAAGTGATGTGTATATAAGAAACAGCATTTTTTAGTTGTTGCAGATTTGACAGTTACTTTATTTTGACTCCAAATGAATTGTATTCCACCAACAATATGATAATGAAAACAATGCATCAACAAAAGAATCAGAGGACAAAAGTTTTTGTTTCAAGAACAGTTGAAATAATTATTTTTAATACCAGATCTTCATCTTTGAAGATGGAAAGTTAAATGGCTATTTCTTATTGAATGGGAAAGTCATTTGCTAAGAAAGTTATGAGAAATCTGTGTGTGTGTGTGTGTGTGTGTGTGCATATATAGGTTAAAAAGTGTACAGTTGGTTCTCTATGACTGGCTGGCCTTTGTGTTTGGTAAGGTATGTAGCGTGTCTGTCTGTGTGTCTATGGCTCAGAAGTACAAAAGGACTCAACTTGATTCTGACTTTACTAGTGGGCAGTGTTCCTTTTATAAAGGTTAGTGGCTGTTTTTATGGGTCATTCTGATTGGTCCATAACTCTACAAAAGGTGTTTAATTTGAAATAAGCTTTTCATAATTGGCTCTAAAATTGTTTATTAGATTTGAATTTGTTTCAAGTTACTAAAGTGTGAAGGCAATAAATTTTGAAGATTTTTGGAAAATATCCAAGTTTCTTTCCAATGGCATTTAGCTTCCTCTGATTTATTTTCCCTTTTGTTGGATGATTTCTTTATATTTTCAGCTCTGGAACTCATTGTCAAATCTTTGTTGAAGATGACTGAAGATGCTTCAGACAAAGCGAAAGAAGCCATGGGCAAGAGAATAGAAGCTGTGAAACAACATGCAAAGTTGCTTAAGATTGCCATGGAAGATACTGTTGCAGTGAGTATCATTTTGCCTTTGCCCATTGGGAAGTAATGATGCAAGGCACAAATAGTAGAAAGGAGTTAGTACCTTGGGGATGGGTTAGTACCTACAACCACTGCCCATGGAAAAGGGGTCTTCCAAATTTGGAGATTAAATTAATTTTCCAAAGCCAAAGAACTATTGTTGAAAGACAGGAGTATTACCAGGTCCCTCAAATACATCAGCCTCATGCCAGTCTTGGGTAAAAGTCAATATAAGAACATAGAAGGGGACCAGCCCCAGTTCCAGAATTGCCAGCCAGGGATACAGACAAGACCAGAAAGGTAGAGCTGCCGAATCTCATGTGACTTGCTGTCAAAAAGAACTCCTGACATAAGCCTTGTTCCAGATTTAGCTAAATTGATGTCATAATAGAATGCAAAGTAGGAAGGGTTAATATTTTTGTATAAAGAACAATATAAACCACATAGAAAATAAACCCTTTTCATTATTTTGTTTGCAAAGAACATTTTTTTATTTTCCTTTGTGACATAGCTTTGCTGTGATTTGAGCCAACACTGCTATTGCCAACGACAACTTGGTCTTTGCTGGCTCTGTGATGAAAAAGCATAGCATGGGGCGAAGCGCAGACTAGAACAACCAACTTCAATGACCATGTATTGACAAGTGTAGGAATAGTTTCAGAGTTGTTGGTGAGAAGTGTCTATTTATTGGAGGAAATTAATGTGCCAGCAATTCGTGACGCATAGAGAACTTTAGAAAGCTGTGTGTGATCAATTCTATCATTGAAGCAAGCAAGTGCACAATTAACTGGACACATCACTGTGTAGGAATGTACTCCTTACACTGTGAAGATGTTTTCCTAAAAAAAAAAAAATCCCTCTACTAAAGCTTGGGTACATGAGGCTTGTTTCTTGTCTGACTGTCTGTCATCATTTCCAAAACCCTTCTTCATTCTGGGACAAAATATTATAGTCTGATGAGAATAAAAGTGAACCCTTTGGTAGGGACAATTTGAGATATGTTTGAAGAAAGAAGGACATTTCATATGATCCCTGAACATATTCTGACAGTTAAATATAGTTGTGGAAATCAATTTAGAATTGTTTTTCATTTAGTGGCATGGTTGAACTACATATCATCAAAAGAACATTAGATTCTGGAGAATAACATATTTCCATCTGTAAAATTTCTCGAACTACAAAAATGCTCAATTTGTTAGCATGATCTAACCATCTTTCAGTGAAAGTGAAAGAATGGTTCCAGGTCTTTTAGAGTGGCTTTGTCAGTTGGCTGACCTAAATCCTCTACAAAATCTGTGAAAGATGCTTAAACATTAGAAGAATCCTCAGAACTTGCAGGATTTGTTAACAGGAACAAGGAAAAAATTGGTGTTAATTTCTGCAAGAAGTTTACCTCAAATTATTTCAAACATCTGACGTACATACATATCTTTGGATCTAGAAACACAACATTGTTTACTGGAATAAGAGTTAAACTTCCTTTAGCTGATTAGTCATTATTGTTTATGATAATCCCAAGAGTAAATCCTAAGAAGAATATATTTAAAAAAAAAAAGACATTTGTCATTTAATCCTGCCTGACCAATCTCCCTTTCAAAAATGTTCTCAAAATCATGTTTCATAATTCTTCTTAATTTTGTTGAAAAATTCATATTTTTTAAAATGATATTTATGCTGAATTTGGCTTCACATGTTGTAATATTTCCACATGGGGATTTTTGGTATAAAACACAAGGAGATCTGCTTGACAGTTGTTTATTCCAAGTTCACGTGTTTAAAATGTATATACAGTATCCATGTCTTACAGTGAGCTCCATTTTTTTTTTTATTTTTTTATTTTTTTATTTATTTATTTATTTATTTCACATCACATCAGAATCCCATATATGTAAGGCCTGTATCAGGGGGCGTAACTCTTGGTTACTAGTTCCTGTGTACATACTACAGATCTGTAAAAATTTGACTAAATGTAGAGAAAGAAATTAAATTGTTGTCTTGATGACTTAGAAGAGTGGCAGGGTATAATGCAGTAGATGAAGGCATTCTTGTGGGTAATGAAACAGTACCATTCCTAAATTTAAAAAAAATGGCCTCAATTTTTCCATAATTTATCTATTTTGTTTTAAACATTTATTTATTTATATTTTTTTTGATAAATCAAATTTTTGATTCCCTTATGTCTTCCCAAACAAATATCTGATCAAATTCATGATCACCTACAAAATAGTATAAGACCTAGTTTATTTGCAATCATATATTTTTTTTATTTTCATTAGTTTTATTAAATCAAGTAATTGAAAAAAAAAAAACATCATTTTGCTTGTACCTAAAGCAATTTTGAGATAGATGGAAAGAATGTATCTTATGTGTACCTATGATATATACAGATTAAAATAAGATTAAAAAAAATTAACTGCAAGTAGAATTTGAATAAAAATTTAATTCTTGAAAGATTATTTTTAATTTTTTGAATGCATTATTCTGAATATCTCAATATTTGTTTTTGTTGTTGTCTTTTGAATCAGGTTCTTCAAAAAGACGGTCAATGGCAAGCAGTAGCATCTGCCTTTGAAATTCGACAAGCAGTCATGAACGATTGTGAGAAAAAAGTCATGGATGCCAGGTAAATATTATTTCGTCTTTTCACCTTTATTTTTTTTTTTTCTTTCTTTTTTGTATTAAAGGCTATGCAAGACATTAATATATGTAAATCCACTGATTTTATAGTAGAGACTGTCAACTTTGAATTGAACAATATAATGATTTTTGTTTCTCTTAATATTGGGGGAAAATATCTGAATACTCAACACTTTAGATTATTTAACAAAATCCCCTAAAAAAGAAGTGTGATTGTCATTCATAACATTAACCCTACCACAGTTATCATTTGAACAAGGGTGGAACATGTGGGGGGGGCAGGCTTGTTTAAACAATAAACACTAAACACTAGTTGATGTGGTAATTTTATATTCTGTGTCCCCATTTGGTTTAGTCTGGCACAAGGCTGCAGTAATAGAACACCCATTAACTATTGAATTTAATACACAACTTAGGTTCTTGCAATAAATGCTACAGATATTTTTTCAGATTTCAGCTTAGTATAACACAATAGGATTAATATAAATAAAATTTGTTACTTAGCTGACTGATGCTATCTTCAGCACCTTGACTATAGCGTTTCATAGACATACCGTTTTGTAATTGTTCTGTTCACTTGTCAGGAGGTTTCAGCAATTGACTGCAGATTTTCTCATTTTCAGTATTTTTACCATAACATTTAACACATATGCACACAAATACACACAAAAACAAATCAATCTCACACCAATAACAAGTGCATAAATTTATTTTGAACTTTATATATATATATATATATATATATATATATATATATATACACACACACACACACACACAGGTTAGATGAAAAGTTCATAGGCTGACCAGGAGTAGACACACCAGTTGGTAGAGTAAAATAATACAACAGCTGGTCAGCCATTCTGTTCTATTAACTGGTATATCTACTTACATTTATATCTTGGTCAGCCTATGAACTTTTCAGCCAATCCTTGTATAGCCTTGTCATAATTGATTGAAAACAAAAGGTTGAAATTAAATAATTGAGATTGTTCCATTTGGCATTAAGCTGAATAATCAGTTTTATTTCTTTTTTAAATTAATGTACATCTGATGGGACATTTGAAGAATAGATGATAAAAAATGACGCAACTTGGTATTACTCCCAATGACAAAAGCATAATTTTTAAGATTAAGACATTATCGTATGATAGAAGGTGGGTGGGTGACATTTATGTTTAACATTTCTGCTATTGTAGATTACTTAAACATCTTTATGAAACTTGTGTTTCTTTTTTTTTTCTGTTATTGTTTACCCAATACAAGAGCCACTCAAGATAGAGATTTACTGAATGAGATTGTTTTATGGATATAAGAATTGTAGTTTATAAGGATAAATAACAGTTGACCTTAGACTTGAAGATGTT